CAACCTTTTATCTATTGACCCTTGTAGTTTGATAGGCTGCTTTCTCCCGACCTTGATTTGGAGCCTCCATGCTGGGACCCATTCCCATTGTTGATTTATGTCTGGCTCTCCCTCCTTTGCCGATCCGCCTGGCTGCCTTCTGCAGAGCAGTGATAGGTGAGGGATGCAGGGGCCTCTTCCAAACCAGAGAGAATTTAGATTAATTTTTGTTAAGGCATAAATGACATGCTTAATGAGGCTGGCTGGTATGGATTGGTCGATTGGCTGCTTTCTGAATACATTATGGAGAGAAACTGATATCTTACTGAAAGTAAACAAATACAGCTTTTAGCATATATTCTAAATGTATTCTTCTAAAACACGTGTAAATTATTTAGAGATAATGACCAATGTGATTAAAAAATGCAACTAAAAAGAATCTTACAATATAAATATCAGAAACCAATCTTTGTCAAGTTTCTTGTTTTTTTTGGCCTTTTCCAGCTTTTATCAGACAGATCAGTGAAGCAACAACAGGAAAGCAGGGCAGATATGTGGCAAAGGGTCACAGGTCAGACTTGAACTCAGGCCGGCCGCTTTCAGCCATATGGCATGTAGGCGCCGGCTCAATGCACTGAGCTAACCCGCTCCCCCCGCTCCTCTTCACTTTCATTTGTGCTTTAGCCTTTCATTCTCACTCTACTCTGTCTTTGTGAATTATGCATCATCCCAAGCAGAAGGAGACTCAAAGCAGGAGAGATGTACTGTAGTAGTTAGCAGCCAGTTTACTCACAAACAATAAAGTGAATATCTATGAACAAGTGCCATGTGCAAAACATACAAGCCATCAGGTATGCAAGGAATACCACTTTGCACTTCGGAAGGTAATATAATTGTGACAAACATGTCTGTGGTCACATTTGCTAGTTTTAGCAGCTGACAGAGCAGGTGATCTATCTGCTGTCTCCACTTCTGCCAGTGAGGTTTAAGAGCTGGATATGCCTACTTATCAACTTTACTAGCTCTTTCCACTTTTTCCAGCATATTGGGAACAGTAAGCTAATAGGGTACATTAGATAGATACATGGTCGTTGTTTAAGTCCTCAATAAAAATTCTTAAAATTCAATATTAGTTTTTCGGCATGTCTGTTTAGGTTTGGCAGAAGATAAGCTGATTCTCTGCTGTGACAAAAAACCTACATCTGATCGATGGTACTTTATTCAGAAGCATGTGCACTTGGTTTTAAACTCCTTATAACAAAGATGCACCTTTGTGTGTTAAAAGTATCTGAGGAATGTGCGATGCAGTAAAACAGCGCTAACCACTTTAAGTCAACCAGGTTACTGAGAAACCAGTAACTCAGAGGTCGTGCCACATTTTAGCCACATACCAAACAAGCGTTGTTTCAGAAACTAAAAGAAGCAGGTAACAGTGATTTCATTATACTGAGCTACCAGCTGTACTGAACCTGGACATGAGCAGGTAGCTTCTGCTGCACGGCTCAGCTGTGTGTTCATATGAACATGAACCATGGCGGCTGGTGGAAACTTAGTTCTTTAGGTCCCTGAATGGTGAATGTGTGTGTAGATAAGTGGTCAGTGTATTGGTTTACCTTTTGTGTTTCTAATTTGCAGAAAAAAAATCAGTTAGCCAACAATGATGATAGAAAGTAGGTTTTGAATGCCTCATTAATCACTGCGCTCTCACACTTTTTCCTGTACATCATGAATCATCCCTTTAAGTAATCCACTTTCAGCTCTAATCCTCTCCTATCCTCACGTCACCTTTCGGGTACTGAATTAAAAGCAGCACAACCTTACTGGTAGCTGTGTATCCACTGATGAATAAACAGATTTGTCAAAGTCCTCGTGAATCACCTCAAAGTGTTTAGTAAGTAATTTGTAAAA